TCTTGTATAGGTTAAGACGTTATTTAAAAAATATATTATTCTTTCATCACCATCATGTTTCTCAAATTCGTGAAGGTCTATTTTGTCGAAATAAAATGTAAATTTTACCAAAAATAAATTAAAATAATAGTTCAAACACACACAAAACATAATAGTTTATTTTATAAATATAAGATTAGAATGCCTTGATTATATTTAAACGGCCGTTAATCCTATTACTTTTGGCTGGTTAAAATTAATCGACCCATATGCTTTAAACAATGGTTTTGTAAATAGACTTTTTGTTTTATTTGTTACTTTATGGCCCCAGGGGATTAAATTTAATTGACGAATACGTCTTCCTTGATAAATTTTGTTTTTAATGTCTTGCTGAGTCTTTCTGTCAGATGTTAATGTTACCCCCAAGTATTTGAAGGATGAACGATGCTTAATATTAAATTTTTCTGTAACGAGATATTGCTTGTTTTCATCGCCAATTTCGATATATTTAGTCTTGTGTACATTTATTTTTAATCCCCACTTCTCATATCAAACTCAAACTGTTCCCTCAGCATTTAGTTTGAGTCTTCAGGATCAGCAGTTGATCGTCCGTGAACAAAAAAGAGTACATTGTGTCATTACCCACCGTGATTCCCATTTGGCCACATTTCTGTCGTCATCTTTTGAGTGATTCTTCGAAGTACATTTTAAACAATAGCGGCGCTAAGGAACATCCGTGTTTTAAGCCTTTACTAATCCGGATACTTTTTTACTAATCCTCATTTTTAGACGTCGTTTTGCCTACTTTGATTTCGCTGATACATCCTGAGCTTTTAGGACTTTTGAAGCTTTAATGTAAGCTTTACCGACATCATTGTTTTTCATGCAAAACTTATTTAATAGTACAGTATCGTAGTTTTTCACAATTTCGTCAAAGGTTAAATGGACAGTGGACCTCTGATTCTAAAACCAATATTACACCGATCCCCTGTCATTTTTGCGTTCTTTTTTAGGGTTCCTTTCCATAAATGAAATATACGATGGCTCTATTTTCCATTGTTTGGGTGGTGACTCGTCTTGGTTCAGGCACGTATTAAAGATAACTGCAAAGATTTCCATTAATTTATCTGAAGCTGCTTTGAAAAGTTCCTTACTTAATTTCCTGGACCTTTCTTATTCTTTAGCTGCATGACATTTTTTCCTACTTCTGCAGCAGTTATTATTACTTTTTGTTGAACATTAGATTTCTTCTGAAATGTCTTCTTGAAATTTAAGTATACCTTTCGTAAGGAGTTTATAATAATATTCTTTCCACTCTTAAATGCATAACATTCTTAATAATCCAGTTAATATTAAAGTAGTCATAGCTCTCTTGATTATTCGTTATATCCAATTAAGTTTCCAAACCTCAATTCTATTATTATTTATGCAAAGATATTTTACATCACTTCCCAGATTAACAATACAATACAATTCAAGTTTAGAGGACCTAATCCTTCCGGTAAGTTTTATGATTTTATACACTTCTGGGGGCGGGGGGTTTATTAAACTCCACATTTGAAGTCCATTCTGTAACTACAGTCAGAACATGTTACATTTTATCTCTAACTGTTCCAGAAAATTAACTTATGAGTCATAACAAATAACAACAATTTTCCCAATAAAGTTAACTTTATTGACAAATACATGTACAATAAAAAAAGTCTTAATATTTTTTATTAAATATAACCATCTAACAAAATAATCTATGTACAGAAGTTAAATTATTAGCATACTATATAAAATTAGACATACTTATTTTAAATAAAGCTAATTTTCTATAACTCGCAGATATTGTTATAAGTATTACCAATTTTGTTTAATTATAAATCGATGTGTACTTTTAAGTCATCTAGTGATTCTACTTGTCTTGTATAATTTGCAAAATATATAAACACCATTCAATAACTACAGTTCCAAGTGACAAGTAATCTTTTTTTGCTTTTTCTTTAATTTTGAAATTACCTATGTAACCAAGCGTGAGTTTAAATTTTAGTTTTTAATTTAAAAAAATTATTTCTGTGAAGTGTATAGTATTTTTTTTTATTTTAGATCCAATTTGATTTCAGATTATTTCCTAATTTGTTGACATACAACTGAAATGAGCACACCTATTAGCGGTCCGATTCTAAGGGAAAGGCTTTATGTATACACAGCAAAATTATAGACGGAGGCAATTTTATTGCAAGTGACGGTTGGCTGACTCGCTGGAAGGCACATCACGGAGTTAATTATGCACACGTAAGTGGAGAAAAAATGTCCGCGGACGCTTTAGGTGTAACTGATTTTACCTCCAAGTTTGTAGAAATTATAAAAATGGAAAAATTAAAACCCGAACCAGTATATAACATAGATGAGACGGGTCTCAATTTTAAAATGCTTCCAGAAAAAACATTTCTGGGAAGTCATGAAAAATCGACTTCTGGATTTAAAAAGAATAAAGAGCGCATTACAGTTGCTGTTTGTTCAAATGCAGCAGGAACACACAAAACACACAGCAGCAGGAACACACACTTTTCGTTTTTGGTAAGTCTGCTAAACCGCGTGCATTTAAAAATTTACATCCATCGTTCATCCCCGTGTTCTACAGATCACAAAAATCAGCATGGATGAGCGATGATCTATTCAAAGAATGATTTGAGCGTGAATTTGTTCCAATTCATCCTGGAAACCTAACAGATGATACAGATGACATACAAATTATCTTTCTTCCTCGTAATGTGAGAAGCTATCGCCTAAAGACGATACAGACGTAAATTACTTTCCGAAATTTTACAATGCGCAGAAACTGAATATCTCAATCTTATTGATATCAAAAAAAAAAAATAACTTCGTAATTTACATGTTAGCTTCCGCCTTCCAAGAAATTCCTGCTTCTACTTTCGTAAAGATATTGAAGAATGAATGAACTGTGACGAGGAATTTGAAAACGGATTTTTGACACACGACGAAATAATTACACTAGAAACACATGAAGAGACATAAGAAAATGAGGAGACTGATAATGATGATGTTGACGGAGATGAAAAGGTTGGCCACACCGAAGCGAGGGCTGCAATGAAGGTGGCATTGAAGTATATTGAACAACAACCTGGGTCATCTTCAATAGACGTCTTAGTTACCGATTTTTTTTAAACAAGTCTGTAAAACATTTAAATATGTATATGTACATAGAAATAAATAGTATTTTTCAACTGTATACTCCGTGATCTTTATTAATGTACCTTCCTCTACATGTGTTTGATACATGTATGTATATATGTACTTGATTTTTCTCATGAAAATGCCTGCACATCGGATTAATCGGCCAGGCTCTGGTCCCGAGGTGGCCGGTTAAGAGGGAGGGCTGTACTTTTAATATTCCCTTTCATAGAACATCATATAGTAGTAACAATATGTTATACCGATATATGTAGACCTATTTAATACCATTTTGTCAACTTATTATTGTAATTTTACTGTTATTGGGGTCATCCCGTTAATAAATAAATGTTTAGTAAGTCTTTTTGTTTACTGATGGGCCGAAGTACCTCGTTGGTAACTTTTTCTACTCATGGAATTCTCAGCGTCCGTCTGTATAAAATACATCTAATTTGTTTTTCTGTCTCAATGTCCAATTTTCAGATATACAGGAAGACGGAGAAAAAGGTATACAGATTTTGAGCTCTAGATCAAGATGTAATGTTTTAAGGGCATGAGACATAAAACTTAATATTCGATAGCTATCATATTATGAGGAATTTAGTGCAGATATTGTCTGGACCGGTGGCTTTTCCGTTTTTCTAAGCTTTTACTGCATGAAAATACTTTGGTTATGTCTGGACCTTTTTCATTTATTCGATCATCTGTGGATGGTGGAAGCACAAGTTCTGCCGCCATCAAAAAGTGCATGAATGTATTTTTCCATCTCTCTAGTTTGTCTTATGTGCCTATAATTGTTTTGTTATTGCTTCTTAATCTTGTTTCTTGTCTCTTTCGATGAATACCTGCCATTTCTTTCACTTTCTTATGGAATTAAAGAATGAATAATGCATGAGAGAGATTCTCTCTCCTGAAGCCAACCATGATGTTGCTTCTACTTTTTAAAAAAAAATTTAAATTGTTTGTCCTTGTGTAGTGTAGTGTAATGTACAATTTTATGTTTATGACATTCTCCACAAATTGTAGAATAGGCCACAATTGACTAAATACCACTGAAGATGCTATAGGAAGCGAAAGTACTTGGGCAAGATTTAATTAATAATCTGTGCTCGATATCTGCCTGTTTATTTGATCAAAGTTCATGTATTCGATCATTCAACCTTATATCAATCAAATAATTTTTGTATTTTATAAAAACCGATATTATTGTATCTTATGGCAGTATAAATAAATGTTTTGTTTTCTACGTAACACTTATTTGTTTTTGTTTTGTTCTTAGGCCCATACGATTTATTGTTAAGGAGCGGGGGGCGCGAGAAACTTTCAATTTAACAAAAGGGGACGTGGTACAAAAAAGTTTGGGAATCCATGATCTAGAGGAACAGATAAATCTTGGATCGATGTGTAGTCACTAGCAGAGGATGAACAGTATTTACGGAAGCCCTATGCTCTGCTGGAAAAGGAGTCAACTAAATATTTATGTTAGGTCCGTTAAACATAACCTCAAACTTGTTTTCTGTAAATATGTCTTTATATTACAAGTAAGCGTCAAGTTTACGTGTGGTCATTAGTACTTATCCATCTGATGACTCAGATTTGGCGTTTTAAAATATTTCGTATTTTCTAATCCATGAAAAATAAACAACGTTCATTCAAATCGAATAAGAAATTGTGGTACACTACACTTAATACTTTTCAAGATTCAACTGAAACGTTGACGCCACAACTGTTGTAATCCAATAAAATGAACTTTGTAATACAAGTGTTCTTCCAATAATATGTCATTATTAATCCCGTCTTGAGTGGCTGAGTCAAAACATGGCAACAAGGAAATGTAAAATGCAACGATATTTGTTTTTATTTTAGTGTATAGCTTCTGAAAATATCAAAATTTTAAAATTAAATATGTTATCTTTTTTATATTCTCGAAAATACACATTATGTATAGTATTTTAACATAAAATTCTTCAGAAGTTTCTAAGCATCGTTATCTAATCATTTACCGTCAAAATAAATACTAAGCATGAAAATTATAAACAATTGAAAGACAAAAGTGAGATTTTAAGAACAAAATAAAATAACATAGATACTGATCTAAGTAATTAGTACCTAATAGATTCTATTTGCTAATATATTACATAAAGAGTATGTGACGAGATTACCATCAATATTCCTATGTTAATAACAAAAAATGTTATGTATCCTACTTAGGTGATCATATGATATTTACAAAGGCAAGTGTATCTGAAACAAAATGTTTTTATTAATATACAAAGTTAAAAGATTTACGCAGTAATCTAAACTCAAAATATGAAATAGTTGTCAATGATGTGTAGAGTTAGGTAAAAGTGCATATGCATTCGCATATTTTTGTATTTTCTTTCGAATTTTGCATTTAGTAGATTGAAAAACAGGTTTCAAAACGAATTTATTTTGATTCTTGGTTCAAATACCGGATATTTCCAAAATATCAAATAAAAATTCCTAAATAACCATTTTGGATTATGTGACAGTGGTTTTAATAGTTTTATTAACTTATGTAATGAAAATTTCTATGTAATTTATGTTTTGAACTTCAGCAGTTACTTTTGGAGTGTATAAAGTGTTGAACAAGTTTTATTCAGTATAGTTAAAACGTCGAAAGAAGCGAATGTAGATCAATGCATAGCCAGAATAGATCATAGATATAAATTGTAAGTAAATACCATTACAATGACGTCGATTCTGTATACTCTGCGGTACTTAATAAAATAAAGTTGGATATAGGAGACAATTATTTTTATTTATGTGTGTATGATACTAATGGTACAGTACTCTACACCACCATTACAATCAATTATGCTGCCCAGATATACAAATTCCACCACTCTCTCAATTTCCCGGTTGTTGACCACAACAGGATGGTTGTTTCTGATGCCCAATCGCATTTATTTGGTTTTGTTGATTTTTATTTCTAGACCAACATTCATTGATTCTTCTTGTAATATTTTTAATTGGGGTTACACGTGTTTTTTTGTATGTTGCTAATAGACATTATCAGCATAATCTAGATCCTCCATTCTTTTTGTTAATTCTCAGTAAATTCCTCTATTAGAGTTTATCTTTTTAGTGCAGAGTCCAATACAATGTTAAATAGTAAGAGGGATAAAAAAGCCTTTTTTACTCCATTTAGCACAGCTATAGAGTCAAATGTTATGCCGTTGTGTAGGACTGTACTTTCTGTATCACGATTCAAAGTTCTTTAATGAGATTTATTATTTTTATGGTATTCCTATTTCCTCCAGTGCTTTTCATATGGTCCCATGGTCCATATGAAATATATGGTCCCATGTGTAAGCGTGTCGAAGGCTCTCTTGAAGTCCACAAAGCATATGAAGAGTAGAGAGTTGAATTCCTGCAATTCTAAGGTTGTTAATTTAGTCTAGGCATGATTGGTTTGATCAGAAACCGGCTTGTCCCTTTCTTAACATTGCTTCCTTCCAGTATCTGAAATTGATCTTTTGTATCCATTTTTCGTGTCTCTATTGGAAGTCCAGTTTTCTATTCTTTAAAGAAATTTTCCTCTCTCCAGACCTTTCGCAAGAGTGGTGTGGTTAGCACTATTGTTGTTCTTGGGCACGCTTTTAACAACTCATGTGGAATATTGTCAGGACTGGCTGCTTTATGAGCTTTCAATTTTATCTATCACCATTTCTGTTTCTTGAGTTGTTGGTTCATTGGTGTTAATTCCTATTTTTTTTACATTGGGGTTTATATTTTAAATCTGTGTGGTAGTGTTGGGACTCACTCAAATATTCACGCCACCTTTTGATTTGTTCCTGTGGCGACGTTTTATCTTCACCTATCTTGCTTTTTATAATTGGTTTATAGGTGGCATCTTTTGTTGGCTAGTTGTTTGGTAATATCATATCATTTTCTCCTGTTTTGATGTTCAGAACTGCGCTTCTTTAGCAAGGTTTTTTGTCCACTTTATTTTGCCTTTTTTTGCTGTCCTGACAACTGTATTAACTTCCTTATAATTTTCTCTAAGTCGTTCCTTCCCTGCTTCTGTTCGGAAATTTAGTAGTTGTAGATTAATGTGTTTGCGGCGTTTTATTTTGTTCCATGTTTCTCTGGAGATCCGTTTTTTCTTTACATATTTCTTTGCGCCCAAAATGTTTTCATTTGTTTACACAAAGGCATCGCTAATCGTTTCCTAATTTTTGTCCTGCTTTTCGTCTATTTCCTAATTTTTATATCAACGATATACATTTGACTGATTTAATTCATATAAACTGAATGGTGACGTTTCTACAAAGAGCGTACGGACCGATTATAACTAAAATATTATTTTAACTGATTTTATAAGCTAAATTTAATATTTGGTTTGATCTCACATTTAATTTACCAACTTAACAAGATAGTGCTGAATGAGAATCTTTCAATTCAAAGTGAAAAATTCTATAGTATAATTTAAAATTACTTTATTGTTAATGTTTGCTTTAAATTTTCGTTTTGTTCCTATACGGATCTAACCGCTAACGCAGTGCAAAATAGGAAAAATTTCATTCTAGTTTACTCACCTAGTACTGTACATCCTCTACTTTTTCTCTTGTTAAATGATGTAGCTGCGCAACAGCCAACTGCGCATGGATCGCATTGGCATGGAGAGCGTTGGCGTGTAGAGCATTTGCATGTAATGCATTCGCATGTAAGGCGTTGAACATGACATTATCAGGAATTACTGGTTTCGGTAGAGGAATTGTTATAGGTGGAGGTTCATCGGGATTTTCTTGCTTGTGAACAGGCTGCAACCTTCGTATGTTACTGACAACATTCAAACCTAAAACAATTAAGAAGTATAGGAGTGTAGTCTCAGATTAAAGAAGTGTAAATTCGGAAAACAATGTATTATTACTAAAAATATTAAATTTTACTTTCAGGATTATTAATTTTTAATAAAGTATTCATTTGTAATCACACTGACACTCCACAAGAGGTGAAATAGTATAATCGCAGGCCTTAAATATAAATTATTATTCACAAAGCTTTTTTGACTTCGACGTACGACATTTCTGCACGTGCTCGAAATCATATTTAGCGTGACTCGAAAAATCGAGACGTGGACAGTAACCTGGAGGTATGTAAAACGTTATCAACAAGAATATTCCGACATGAACACAATTAATAAAGAAATGCACCGAAAGCTCTTGAAAGCAGGACTGACTGTTGCAAAAAAAACGAAAAATAAAGAAAAGAGAAGCACATTTCTAAGCGAAGGAAAGCGAAACACCGATAGTTTCAAACAATTGAATAAACAAATAAAGAAAGGAGTAAAGGAAGATTTAAGGATCTACTATGAACACAAGGTAGAAAACATAATAGAAAAGAACCGAGGCTTGAAATGCTTAAGATCAAACTTAGGAAAGCCTATAATATCATTGAAGGTTAAAGATGGAAAAGAAATAAGAGAAAAGTTACTACGAAATCCTAAAAGTTACTCAAACATTTTACCGTGACTTATATTCCTCAAACAAGAGCCCAGATAACACTGCAAAGGAAGATCTTAAGAGAAAGATAACGAATGTCAACTCAGAAATACTCCCTAACACATAGAATCCTGCGAAATAAAACAAGCTATGGCACAACTAAAAAATAATAAAGCTCCGGGTCTAGATGGAATACTTGTAGAAATGTTGAAGGAGGGGAGTGAAATTATTCTCGAAGAATTGAAACATTTTTTCAACGAATGTTGAGGAAAAAATGAGAAATTTAAGATTAATGTGAGATTACAAATAAATGGGTTTAACTTGTTGTTGAACAGCTGATGTTCTTCAAGAAAGAACAGTAAAATTATTGAACTAAATAGAGAGGTTAAATAAATTTAATAAAATTCACCAACTACGAAAATTATTGCAAAAATATACGTAATTACATAGGATAACTTGACGAACGCTGCTTTGAAATTATTAATAGTTAATATAAATACTATCCCGATCGATCCTTGATATAAACCTAATTCCAAGTAACCAGTTCATGTGTGAACACATTTCAAACGTCAAACTTTTCTTAAGAAAATCAAATCTGCGATCAAAGTCAGAAAAGATCAAAGTAAAGAATTATTCCTAACTCATATATTTTTTGGTCCTTCGATCCGGATATAAACCAACACCCTATGGATGTACAATCCAATACGGATACTTAACTTTCCCTCTAATATTACTTTAGAATTCAAAATGTATTATTAAAACATTAAAAGCCACAATACATCAAACTGGCATAAAGAATCTTCTATGAGTCTTCTTGAAGCTGTTATTGCGTTATGGTTTAGATATAACAAAGGGAGATATCATCTATTGGATAATGCTAAAATATTTACATACTAGTACTGTTTTTATTTGGTAAACAATATTTCACGTAATCACACAATACTGTGGTATTTTAATTTCAACCGAAATTAATATTTAAGATCCATTGATAATATTCAATATTTTAACATTAAATTAAAATTCTTTTTAGTTCTAATTACTTATTAAAACTTACCGTGGACAGTTCGCTTGTGTTGCGTCAATAAATAGCCCATAAGGAAACTCTCTGTACATAATTCGCACTGGAATCTTTCTCCTGTATGACGTCTCACGTGGGCTTTAAGATCGTTACCTTGTGCAAAAGCAGCATCGCAATATGTGCACTGATATGGTTTTTCACCGGTATGCGTTCTCATGTGAACGGTGAGATTATAGGCCCTACAATAAAAAATAAAGCAATGATGAAGAAATGTTTTTTAATGCCACTGATACATAATAAAAAATTTAATGTGCTGATCATGCCTTCTATGGAAGGTTCATTATACAGAAGTTAAGACGATTTAGTGGATCGATAATTCCAAAGTTTAATGATTTGTATAAATAGAAATCAACTAGGTGATACTGGCAGTTTATTACAATCAGTTATGTTTTATTGGGAATGAAAAAGTAGTTAATTAGTTGGAATTGACAAACTACTGCTTTAGTAATACTGTAAAAATATTTTATGTTTTTGGATCTTAATCATTACATACCTTCCAAATCCTCTTCCACATATTGTACACAAATGAGTCTTCTCTCCAGTATGATATCTCTCGTGCACCGTCAAATCTGTCGTTCTTGGGAAACCTAAGTAAAAATAAAAACGAACTAAGTGAAAAAAATGTAAAATACTCTGCATAAATTATAATATGAACATAGTAATATATATTTAAGATTACTATACACCTTGATTTGGTAATCCCAAATTGCAATTGCAACATCAACAAAAATCATAATTAGAGTTAGATATGAAATAAATACTAATAATAAAAGATTAGAGATATAAAAATTGAAGGACCCTGTTTAAGAGAGAATCTCCAACAAAAAATATCTGAAAGATTTGATAAATCAGACAGTAATATCGAGGACATCAATCAACAAAACCAAGAACAAAGACATTCTCAAATATAGAACTATTCAGAATGAGATCAGAAACAAAACAGGTATAATTTGAAGAGGAATGTAAAGAAATCAACGAACAATTAAGACTTTGAACCTACATAAAAAGGTTAAAGGAATGACAGGGCTACAAAGGATAAGCCACATTTTGCCACTTTTATACAAAACATTTAGCAAACAAAATTATTTAAACAGGAGTGTTGTAACCAAAGAGTATTTTACGTTACGACTAGAGTAAAAGGAATGGAAGTAACAATAAAACACTGAAAACTTTGTTTTCAAACTTCCACAAGGAATGGAAGTAGCCGACAAAAAATCTAACACAATTTCAAAATATAGCGTTTGGAAAAAATGACATATCTTGGGGTTTACTGGACCAAATTTGCTTTTTCTTTTTTAAACTCTAAAATAATAAAACTTTAAAGTAATATCATTTATCGTATTTTCATTGCAAAATAATCCAGATAATACAGTACAGTTAAAAAAAATGGTAAAAAATATCAATTTTAATACTATGTAATCAGCAGGGAATGTTTTAACGTGTAGAAAAGAAAACATCATCGTGGTGAACAGTATGGGAGACCTGTGTCCAAAAATGGATAGACGCATGTAGTAATTGACCTTCTTTAACTCACCTTTTCCGCAATATTTACACTTGAAAGGCTTCTCTCCTCTATGCCGCCTCATATGAATAACCAAATAGTCATTTCTAATAAAGCGTTGTCCACACTCAGAACAAAGGAACTTCTTGGAATGTTCATTGTGGAATTTCATATGTTCTGTAAGGTGGGATTTAGATAAGAATGTCTTTTCACACACTCTACATGAGTATTCTTTAGTACCGTTGTGACCTGCTACATGAACATCTCTGTATTTCTCTGTCGTGAAGAATTTGTGACATAGAGGACATTCAAATTTCTTCTCGCCCATTACCTAAAAGAATAATAATTTACTAGTTTTAATGGTGAATATTAGGATTATTGAATTATGAAGACTATCCAACAACCACAGCTATATTGCTTTAATGAGTACTGGTACTTTAATGAGTACATTAACAATGGTCTTATAAAGCTTAAATAACAATATTTTTAGTTACAAAATCTGATTAAGTAATCTATGTTAATACAGGAAGGTTTTTTTCCATTAATTCAAAATATAAAATAAGAAATTTAAATGATTCAAATCTAATTGGTCTTAAAGTAGTTATCAAAAAGTAATTGTTTTAGTTCAAATTTAAATCTTCCTAATTGACTTTCCTTCATATTACTGGGCAGCTTATTATACAAGATCAACCCATTTGACTATACGCTTCTTTGTGCACAAGAAGTTTGTATTCTTCCCATATGAAAAGTACCCCTTTGCCTAGTATGATAGTCATGTACATCATTGGTCAATGTTATGGCAATATTTGTATGTACTTATGAAAGCTTACAATTATGTAATAATACACATACTTGCATAGTATACATTGATTCAATATTGAATATGCTTCTTGGATAGTACAGATCTTCTGTCAGATGAAAGCGTAGCAGTTGAAAAACATATGATGGTTAAATAAGACAGATGTGAATTTATTAGAGAATAATACACTATTTTATGATGAGGGAGACATAAATTTGGCAACTGTTCCTAGTATGTCCACTGTTGGAGCTATTTTATGACATATCTCTAATGTGATGTTCCAAGTAAGTCACTTTGAATGTTCCAAAGTTCAACTGCATCTTCCTATGTGCATCTACATACATTTGAAATTATCATATAACTACAGTTGTTAGTATTGTAAGAATTACACACTCTTCACTGATGACACCACAGTCTCCTTCGTAGCTGACACACTTGTGGACTCTCTTAGGAGTTCTAGATCGGCACAGTCGAGAATCAAAGAGTGGTTCTGTGCCAACAGAAGACCAACAGGACTGTTTTTTGCTCTTAGGGACACTCGGACTGAAAACGCAGATGTGACAAGTGTGAAGTCCCTGAAGATACACATGGACCCCAACTTCAATGGGGTCAACATATTGACTATTTGAGTAAAAAACTATCGAAGAACCTATATGTGCTCAGAAATCTAGCATCTGACGTTTCGCACAAACAGCTTCTTTTGCCATTTTCCACTCTCATCTGACATATGCAATCTTAATCCGAGCACATTCGGCGGGAATGCCGAGAGTCTTTGGTTTGCAACACAAGACTATGAGAGTTCTTGCAGATCTTAGGGTATGAGACTCTTTGAATTCTTATTGTGCCCTCCTTGTATCTTAGAGAACCTTATGTTTGTTAACAGGAGCGAGGGGCGCTATGGGACACATAGATAAGTGCACGATCATAATATTAGACATAGGTGTGATGTTGTTCCAGTCTACTGGAGGATAAAGATGTGTCAAACTGGACTAGGGTATTGGACAATAAAAATTTATAACAAATTTATTGATAACTTAAAGGATCTTTCCACAACTCAATTTAATAGTAAAACTAAGGAAATTTTAACAAAAACTGTTTTTTAATAGTAGTGATGAATACCTGAAATTTCAATTTTAAACTATTTTAAGTCAAATTAATATTTGTTTTTTATTTTTCATTTTTATGTAACTAGAATTTAAGATTTTTTAATAGAACTATTGTTCTGCTTTTATTTTTGAAGTGTGTTAGGCTATTGGCATACTTACATCAATAAATGAATATGAATTAGTGGAAACAATAGCAGAAGGAGAAGAGGTACTTGAATCTTTAACCTAGAAAATGTGTAAAATACACAAACAAACAAACACTTTCAATTATTCAATAATTATATCATGATAATAAAACATTTGTTATGATGGTCAAATCTCCGATAGTGGCTGCAAGACCATGACGTGAGTTCAGGGGCTTACACTGACTGTTCAGATAGGCTGTAATCTGGAAAAAGTGTGTGTGAATGAAGGTACTCCCTATAAACTGACTAGTCCTAGTGAATGGGGAGTATGAACGGATGTAATGACCTCGCTAGAGCATTTCCTGTCACCTTAGCTCTCTGGAATATCTGAAAATCTCTCCTAGGTAGTCCAAGAGACTAGGAATTAATTAACTGCTTCAGAGACTAAGAAGCTGCCTACCCAAGTTAACCCACCCATATCTTGTACCACTACCCCTGGCGGAAATTCAATTAGAAAGCCCTATGATCTTCACAACCACATCCCCAGTATATGTCACGATAACTATTATATGTATCTATCCTACATTCTGAGTACAACCAAGAAAATGTTATTCATTCTTCATCCTTCTTCCCACTATACCTACATCCCTATGAGACAACCTACAACCAACTAAAAACCGAGGTCGAAAACCAGCGAAAAAAAACTGTAAACCTATGTGTGAGACACTCTGCTGAAGGATGCATGACCACACGATAAGTGGTCTCTAACGGTTCGATCAGGATACCAGGCGAGTTCCGGTTATAAGAAGCCTTACTTGCTCAAGAGGGGATCTGAGCGAGTGGACATTTATTCCCTAGCTACTCGTGGGAACAGTATGGAACCAATAAAAAAATAAAAGAAAAAATGGATGTTCAGGAGACTAGTATAAGTACATATGAAAAAGACTAGAGTAAGAGAAATACTTACACTGAGTAAGTTATACAATACCTAAATTGAAGATGACATAATAGACAATTGTGACAAAATTAATGACTGCAGATGAAAGTAGAAATTTGTTAATAAACAAATTGATTAAATCAACATGCGTAAAACGTGAGGAAAACGTGCGTAATTAATTAATTAATCGATAAGAAAACAAACAAAAATCATACAAAACTAAGAAATCCGGAGGTCTCTCATTTTATGTACAGTATTGTGCGAATTAATGAAATCATTGTGAAATTTTTCAATATTTACAGTTGGCAACACTGTCCACACATTTACAATTGACCAAGCATTGAAAACATAACCTTACTTTTCCCTGCCTTTTATTTGAGGGTGCTTTAGGAAATTTCCCACTAAGTTTGTGATATTTTGGATTATTTTGTGTTCATCATCATCTTGGTGATACAGTCCTTAGAGGGTCTCGACCTTCTCAAGCTTTCTACGCCATTCTGTTCTGTCCCTTGGCTGTATTTTCCAGGTGCCGACTCCGATCTTCTCGGCATCTTGTGTTACTCAGTCCATCCACCTCAGCTTTGGTCTACCCCCGTCCATCCACCTCAGTTTTGGTCTACCCTGTCTTCTCATTCCCACAAGCTGTTAGAATCTTTTTTATCATGTTCGATTCAGGGGCTCGAGCTACATGTCCTGCCCCTGAATACCTATTTTGTGTTGGTTTTGGTAATTATTGAGCTTGTTTCGTTTAATTCCATTATGGATATTACGCCCAGGAAGCGTGAAAAGATTATCACTTTAAATGAACACACTTCTGTCACAAAGAGAAATCGGAAGAACGTGTGGAGTGAGTCAGGGGGTAGTAGGCAAGATTTTGAAGCGTAAACAAGAAACGGGATCAATGGATGTAAAAAAGGTTAGGAAAATGCGGAAGAAAGAGAAAAACAACACCAGCAGATAAAGATTTTTACTTCGAAAGAGGAAATTGGATCCAAGAAAAAGAAGCCAAGAGCTTTAACAAGATCTAACAGCATTAGATGTAGTGATTCATGACTCAACTGTGCGGAAAACAGAAAAAACAGCTTATAACTAAACGAATGAAGAAATAAAGGCTATTGTGGGCCAAAAATACTATAATTGGACTGTAGACGACTGAAGAAAAGTCCTATTTACAGATGAAACTCACTTTATATAATGAAAACCTTACACCATCCCATATTGATCAAACCTTAAAACATCCAGTCAAAAAAATATTTTGGGGATGTTTTTCGTACATGGGGGATGGATCTTTGGTAACAATCAAGGGCAGGGTGAACAGCCAAAAATACAAATCTGGAACGACGTTTGGAGACAGAACTCCAAAAATGTTAGCTCCAAGGAGGAGGGATTCTTTAACAGGACTCTGCTTGCTATCACAAGTCAAAGGAAATGATGGAATTTTCAAAAAATAAGAATAATGTTTTAGATTGGCCCGGTAATTCGCCAGATCTAAACCCCATTGAAAATTTATGGGCCATTTGCAAAGCTAGACTGCGCAAAAATGGACTTTACAACAAAAATATAAATGATAGAACTGATCAGATAAAATAATATCTGGGAACTGTCAGAAGCTCGTAGAATCTATGCCCAAATGGGTAAAAGCAGTAATTGCAGCCAAAGGGGACATATTTCCTACTAAATGATTTAAGTTTACCTTTATAGTTTTGTCAAAATATAATTTTTTCTAAATAAACTTCTTTTTTTATTAAAACAGCCTGTGATTCCATTAATTCACAAGATACTGTATTTAAAGTATTGTGAAACCCTAAGCTTGAAAAGGACGAAAGGATTGAAAAGTATTGTGGATGTAAAAAATGGAATATAATGTATTATATTTTAATAATCAATGCCTTGAGAGCAACTTAAACAATATTGATTTTATAATCTGAATTATAAATAATTTTTACTTACACATATTCTCTCTCCTATGCCATGTTTCGAAGCCTTATGTTTAGCGAGGTGATCAGCCCTTGAAAATGGTTTTTGACATATTTCACATTCGTAATCATTAGTTCTCTCATGCAACTTTTGATGTTGATTGAGATGATCGCGTCTGTTAAAGCTTTTGGTACATACTGTACAACGGAAAGGTTTAATAGTTGAATGTGATGTAATATGTCTCTTCAAGTGATTTACGCGTGAGAAGGCTTTGCTGCACACATTACATTTGTGAATCTAAAAATATAAATTATTCAGTATCAGAAATTACTGAGAATTATATATCTATACAAAAATATTCCATTTTATAACATATTTGGATAACGGAAAAGGTTCCCAAACTTAAAAAAAAAATATTTAATATGTAAGGATAGAGCATGTCGAAATTCAACAGTAATCCAACATGACTAGAATATGCTCGCAAATCAACGATAAAGCTATGACTGCATCTTAAATTTTGTGAAGAACAGTAAACAGAGCAAAAAGTATATGATATAGATAAAAAAAACTGGAAATAAAATGATTAACAATCAAATTATATTTTATTAGACTCCTCAGACCGGCGAAACGAACGGAAGCACAGAATTAATTCAGTGGCGTGCCAACATCGCTACAATGAGTCATATAAAAGTTTGCGCGCCGAAACATCATTATAATTTACGTTTGCTATATTAAATGCTCTTCTAAAATTGTTATCTTGTGGCATTTTGTATTTTATTCTTGGGAATTTGCCATAAGTAAATACCAAACACACAAACCAAATGACCAAATACACAAAATAACAGTCAGAGTTTGGAATGACGGACAAATCCCTCGAATGACTCGGAAGAGTCATGTACTGGAATTATTTGTCGCTGCACAAAATGGATGAAAAATTAGAATGTAGGTATAAGGGGAATAACCCTAAATACAATAGTATACAATTTATTGTATAGAGTCCTATAGGTGGCCTAAAATGACTAGAATTAGTCGATTAAGAACAGACAAGATTTTTAGGGCTAAGGCAAATATTAGGATATACATATTAGAAAAAGGATTGAAAATGGCTAAAACAAGGGAGACAGGGCTGTTCATTTTATGGAATGTTATAAGAAAAATGTCTGTGAACTCAAGCTAGCTAACACACCACATCACATGTGTTTGGATTCAAAGACCTCTATAGGGAAATAAAGGTCAAGTATAAAACTATCACGTGACCACCAATAGACACATTTAGCACAGAAGCATGGATAATAACAGAAAAAACCAAAAATCTAATCAATATCTTTGAATGCAAGATATAGAAAATAATATTGGGACCCATCTGCGACCATGGTGTGTGGACAATAAAGTTCAAGCACAAATTATATCAATATTACAAAGAACCCATTATAGTAAATTATTCAAAAATACAAAGATTGCGCTAAGCTGGTCATCTTATAAGAATGGATAACAGAACACTTAGTAGAACACTTAGTGAAACTATGGTGGTGCATCGACCAATGTGAAGACCATGGTGGTTAGACGAAGTGACCATTGATTCTAGAGAGATGTTGGGGGTGGCTAACTGGAGCAGAGCAGCCAAAGAAAGGAATGCTTGGATACAACGGCTGGAGGAAGCCAGGGCCAGATTTGGGCTGTAGCTCCGTTCGAGAAAGAGAGAAATATTAGGAAAAGGCCAAAAAATTTATTGTCGACACTATATTATCATCATCATCACTGGCTCGACAACCCTTTTTGGGTCTTGGCCTGTTCAAGGATTCTTCTCCATTCTGACCTGTTTCGTGTTTTTTTTTCCAGTTTTTAATTTTTAATGTTGTTATATCATTTTCTATTTGTTCTACATATCTCAGCTTCGGTCTTCCTCTTGTTCTTTTTCCTACTGGCACTTGTTTGAATATTTTGTTTGGTATTTCGCCTTCTTCCATTCTTTCCACATGTCCAATCCAACGCAGCCTTCCTATTTTAATGAATGTTATGATATCCGGATCCTGGTATATGTTGTATACATGATATATGTTGTTGTATAAAGTTATACCTTCTCCGCCAAATCCTGTTTTCTTTTGTGCCCTTATATATGTGTCGCAAGATTTTTCTTTCAAAGGTGGCTAATAACGTTTCCTCCCTTTTAGAGGATAAAAAATACTTCATTTCTCTGCAAGCATTACACCAGCCCTAATCCAAAATATGAGGAGAAATCTGTATGACAGATTTGGTTACTGTTTAGCACAAGGAGGTGGAATATTTGAGCCCTTAATTCATTAATCTGCTTTCCTAACTTTTATTTTTTGTTAGGTACATTTTACGAAGTTTGTAGGTTCTTAATTAGGTAGTATTTTTTATATTTAAGTTTGGAAGAATTTATTTTTTTTTTATTATTTAAAAGTACAAACGATTGTTATTCTGATTTTTTTTCTTCTTTCTTGTCTTATTGTTACAAGCTTTGTCCATAAAATTTGTAAAATTTTCAGTGACAATAAAGCATATTACTTATTTACTTACTTATTTATTTGTATTGCTAAGACTAAAAAATAACCAAAAAATTAGTTTTAGAGCATTATAATAAATATACTCTAGAGATGGGATTGCAATAAATCTTTCCTATGATCAACAAAACAATGTCGTTATCTGTATACAGAAAATTAATATTTTGTTAACTCTTTTCCAGATACTTTCTAAATGGACTATATAGTTTAATTACAGTTTTAATGTACCACAAAGGACACATACAAAATTTATATTTTAAAAATAAAAAAACTACCTTGGCTCCTTCATGTTTGATCTTAGCGTGTCTATCCAATTTACTCATAGTATTAAACATCTCGTTGCAAACAGGACAAGGATAATCTCCATAATCGTCATCCTTTTCTTTTTTAATATCTCTATCCATTTTGTTTTTATTTTTAGAGCCCGGCTTACGCCCCCTCTTGCCGGTTCCCACCTTCTTCGGTGGTTTAGGGGGCGCCTCCGCATTTTTACGAGGTCTACCTCGACCGCGTTTCACTGGTGGCGATTTCTTTTGTGGAATATAATCTGAGTCGTTACTTTCTTTATCTGAGTCATCGTCGTCTGAAACTGAACAAAATAATGATGAGAACATCAATAAACTATTTTTGTATATAGCTGTTTTTACATTTTCAATTGTTAAATGTAAATTTAAATTAAAATATATAATAAAATATATAATTTTTATATACATGTACAATAACCACATGGTCTTTTGCTGTTGTAAGTTTGAGTTAATTTGTAAACTGTATTTAGTTTCAATTAATTGTTTATACAACATAATCATTTAATGTCCAATGTCGTAAGTTTCTTTACATATTTAGTATCATTGACTGCTACATGTCTTTTTGAGGTAACATACTTATAATTACTTTTCTATGGATGTTTGGTTTTTCATATTGTCCTTATTAGATGAACTGATGATGCTTTTTGATTAGAAAGCGAAAAGTCATCAATAAATAAATGAAGTAGCCACCAGTAGAAAGCATAATCAGTTCATCTAAAAAGAGCAATATGAAAAACCAAACATCATTAGAAAAGTCATTATAAGTGTGTTACCTCAAAAATACATGTAGCAGTCAATGATATTAAATACGTAAAGAAGCTTGAGATGTTGGACATTAAATAATTATGTTGTATAAACAATTAATTGAAACTAAATACAGTTTACAAATTAACACAAACTTAGAACAGCAAAAGACCATGTGGTTATTGTACATGTAATATAAAAAGTATGTAAAAAACTTATGTAAAAAACACTTATTTGCCGAGAACTAACAATATCATAAGATCACACTTCCAACAGTATATTATTAGTTAAAATTAATTTTTACTTTAGGTAACATTATTGAAATGATTAAGATTTTTTTATAGTAATATTAAAAAGACTAGGTAATGAAGTTACCACTATTGGTCTCCTTAGCTTTTAGGATGCTACCGGCAAATGGAAGCAACAATTTAGAAACACAAGCCTTCAAGTGAAAAGACAGTGTCATTGAAGTCAGAATATGACAGACAACAAGGCGAGTTGCCAACCGCTAGTGCAATAGAGCGGTAAGTTTAAATAATATGAAATATTAGGTGACAACCGTGTCAGTACAACCAAAAAATGAAAGAAAAAGGTGCTTAAGATCACCATTTTCCCTTCAGTGATTGGCTCGGATAAAAATAAACAAACAAGTGAGGTTGATCCAAGTCTATCCAAGTCTATCTAGTCTATGTGTCTATGACCATAGTTCAAAAGCATCACAACTTATGGGGCTGGTTACAGTTTAAAAAAAAGCTACTGTTAATGGATATTCAGACTGTTAATGGAGAATGGGTATTGAGACAAAAATAATTTGACACAATTGCAGCCAAAGTTTGAGATGGTAAGTACATATAAGTCATATGCCAAAAAAATTGTCTGAAAGTTTTACTTGTATGTTTAGACAACCACCTACTTCCAGTTTTTGATATGTACTACCAGTCTCTCTGAATAACGGCGGAATTTGTAAAAAAACATTTTAAAAAACATTGTCGTCAAATCACTGAATTGTCATTCTGTGAAAGTGTCTTAAGTTCCACTTCGGATTTTTCTCGACGACTTTACACTATAACAACCTGCCCAAAGCAACAATGCCCGTGAAATTAGGATGAACAGGAACAGTAAGTGCTCCAGAATAAACACAAGTCTTTGAGTTTATCAAGAAATATTACCGGAATTATTAAGATACTATGACAAATAAAAGACATTTGTAGTTTATCTGCCTATTTACATTTATAACTAAATAAATATCTTTTAAAAAAATGAATGGCTTACCTTCACCTTCCACTTCGGCAATAACATTTTTAAGCAATTGCTCATCTTCATCGATATCTGGTTTTTCATCTTCAACTTTAACTTCTTTCTTATCTTCGTTTTCTTCCTCATCAATACATGTTAAATCTTTCTGATCTTTTTCCATACTACTGTCAGCATCATTATCTTTTTTCTCCTCATCAAATTCTTCATCTTCATCGGACTCATTATCATTATCTATGTCAATGCCAATATCACCACCACCAATAGAACCATCACTGTGTATACTTTCATCATCCTGGTTTTCTTCGTGAGTTGAAATTTCAGCAGCAACCTTTTTAAAAACATATTATCTTAAGCTTGAATGAAATGTTTAAATTGAGTATATAATATAAAATTTTTTTCTAAATATAAGTGTAACAGTCAATACTATATATAAAGTGTGTGCCGAACAAAAACTAAACAGATCGAATATTTAAGACCAAAAAAATATAAAAACACCTCAATTATTATTCCACATAGGGTGCCACGGCAGCGATTATACCTCCCTATCATATATACCCGAATTCTTCTCGTCCTAGCAGTAATAGCACAAGCATAAGCTTAATACCCTATAGACAATGAAAAAAGGTTGGATCATATTAATGACTATATATTTTTACACAGCAATCCCCAACAACTATTTAGATTTAGATATTTTTACGTCCTTAAAAAAATATTTTTTTAATTTTTGGCACACCCTGTATATTATTACTACTATCTGGAATATACTAACCTTGAGTTTGTCATCTTCAGTTGTCTCTGTAACTTCAACTTGAGGTTCAAAACAATCATCAACATCAGAATGCTCATGATCAGAAAAGTCGATAGATGGGTCTTGATCGATCTGGTAATAATGATCTTCAATATTATCCAAGTTTTCAATTGTCGGTAATTTCGGAGTGGTTGAATCATGCATTTTCCTATGAACTTCAAGACTGTCTTCACGGTTGAAGGCTTTATTGCAAATATCGCATGGGTAGACAGTATCACCTACATAAAAGAACAATTTAGAATAACATTTTGAATAGCTTTGGATGTATTTAATTAAAAAAATTCTGGATATATTGCGATTATAGTCATCCAAAAAGACCTAATTAGTCTAGTATGTGCAATAAAAATGACATGGTTTGAGATTTTGGCCATTTCCACAAAATAATATATACATAACCTACAAGATTTGACTTATAGTATCTGACTGTACATAACTTCGTAATGCTTTATTTTTTTCTTCTTCCAACTGCATCATTTGAAATAATTCCCATTCATTTTAACAACACGCTCTTATCGATGCTTTAAGTCATTAAAGTGGTTCTAAAATTCACTCTTCGTAATAGCTTCCAGCACCATTGGCACATTCATTTGAATTATCTATTTTATCGAAACATTGCTCTTTAAACAACATTTTCGGTTAATGAAGCACAAAAAATTCACACTGTTATTGAGACTATATGTAGATTGAGTGAGGCTAAATACAAGCAATAAAGATACAAACTATAACTGTTTTGGAAGAACTGAATATATGTTTCTTACCTTTACATCTAGGAGCATGATTATGTAAATGTTCAATTCTGTTGAATCCTCTGTTACAAGTTTTACAGGAAAACGGTTTTTCTCTTAAATGTGTCACTAAGTGTCTTTTTAGATGTTCCATTCTTGTCAATGTTTTACTACAAATTCTACAAACATGGACTTTCCTTCTATTATGAGATTGTTCATGGCGTTGCAGGTGATTAAGTCTTGTATATTCTTTGTCACATTGTTTGCATTTGTACATACCTCCAGTGTGTATGCGTTTGTGGCAACGTAAACCCTACATTAAAGAAATAAGACAATTGAGTAAAAGTAGTCCATGCTATTTAATATTTTGTACATTATTAAATCGGTAAATATATTAACTATGTTCACATTTGTAATATAAAATATATGAAGAAGAAATTTGAAAAGCCACTTGATATACCTTTACATCTAAGATTGTTGAAGGGCGATGGCCCTTTTTTCATTAATTTATGGCCCAAAGATGACTCATTTCAAAACAAAATTGACATGTCTGGAAAATGTTGGTCAGAAATAGCTCTTTCCATGTCTTTTGAAATACCACAAATGAATTTTTTCAGTTGTTTTATATAATATATGTAATTTATAATTTTCAATAGATTGGGTTATTTTAAGATGAAAGTTATTTTTGTGATTTCTTCGTAAAATGGTTACTTTAAGCTTAAAATGCAAATAAACAATTAAAACTGCTGAAAAAAAAACCAATTTTAGCATTTTTCTACTTAATTTTTTATTAGACTCAAATTGAATTAAAAAAAAAAACAAAAAAATATGAGATAAAAGTTTAGCAGTTTTAAAATTCCCAATTGTTTTGATTTTATATTGCAAAGATCAGTTTAAAAAACCATAAACAAATGGATATAATTATTGTTGCATTTCGGGATAATAATCTAGACAACTGTCTAAACTTTAATGTTCAAAAACACCTTGATTATTATTTACCCCCAACTTGAATTCTGTTTTAATTGAAAGAATATGCTTTGCATTAAATAAAACAAAATTGTTCTGAAAAATTTTAACAATTGTAATCCATTTGGACATTTAATTTAATGGACAAATAACTTTTGTCTTAAAATACTCAAATTATCAAAAAAAAAGTAGTTTCGAAAAGAAATAGGCTATTTTTTATAATTTGTTTAAAAATAAATGAATAGGTTCTTGTGGAAATGTAACTTAACAAAGCCTATTAGAGCAATCAAAAATATCTCAGGCAACTAAAGGATATATTATACATTATATATTGCTTTTCAGCATAACGAGATTAATAACTGCATTGAGTATTGATTTTAAATATTTATTAAAACTTTACCTCTAGTGTAGTGAACATTTTTGCACATTCACGACATGTGAGAAGCATTTGATTGTTGTCCATAAACTGTATGTAATCTGTTTCAAATTTCTGGGGAGGTGCTGTTTCTCCAGTAGTAGTTGGGTCTTTAGCTGTTTCATTGAGAATACTGTCAAGTGTGTTAAGAGATTCTAAAATAAATAAAAATGTACTAAAATTATGTTCTTAAGATGAAATAAAAGATATAAAAAATCTAGAACATTTACATAGATACATTTATTTTAAAAACCCTACTAAATTTTTGGGTCAATTGGTCTTCTTTTTCTTCTCATATTAGTATGCCTTTATAAAATGTCCCAATATCTTGAAGAATATCAGTTCCTCTTGGTATAAGGAAGAACTCTATTGAATTTTAGGTCAATAGTTCTTCTTCTCATATTCTATGCTTTTTTTTTAACGCAAACTAGAGTCTTAAAACTGGGTAGTAGTCCAGGCCTCAGAGATTTGACCTCTAAAAATTATACAAACAAGCTGAATTTTGCTGAAAATGTCAATTTTGGGATCCTAAAAAGATGCAAAAAAGTTTACTACTTCTACCCCCGGCTACCCCCTAAAACGTCCCTAAAACAGAAAAAATTGATTTGCCAAGAATCTGTAGGCGGTAGAAAAATATTTCAAATAAAAATGTTGCTGAGATACTTTTGAATAAATGTGTTTATTAGAACTTTTTATGTAGAATGAATTCAAAACTGACCACTTTAAGTGTTGTTTCTGAGAGAACAATTCATTCTACATAAAAGGTGCTAATAATCATTTGTGTTCCAAATGTTGTATTCCAGATGTTGTATTCGAAATATTTGTTTCTACAGCATACAGATTCTTGGTAAATTTATTTTGTTTATTTTCCCCACTAAGAGAGACTTAAGGAGGAGCTGGGGGGTAGGCGTGGTAAACTTCTTTACATATTTTTACAAAATTTGCAAAATTGACATTCTCTGCAAAATTCAGCTTGTTCAAATGATTTTTAGAGGTTCTGTGGCATTTTCGTCTTCGTAATACATATTTACTTGAACAAATATAACAAAAAAAAATAGTACCAAAGTATCAAGGACACCTGTGGCGAAAATTTTTTTTAATTTGAAAGGTGAATTTGTACTCAAAATTTGATCTGGTAGTTTTTGTTGAGTTAATCACTGATTGTATTGTGCTGTGCTTTATCTGAGAGATTTGTAAGATGGCGTTTCCAACCATTTGAGAGGTCCACATGGTTTTAAGAAGAAACTGAGTGGCTGAGTTTTGAAGATTGCAATTTGTTGTTATTCAGGATAATCCGAAGTTCAAATCTTCCCAAGAATTGTCCATATTTGTGTTTCCTGGTCACTTCAGACCAATTCCAGCTTGAATGAGACACAGTTGTGTGTTTGTAGTGTTTTGGTTCAGTTCCGACCCCAAAAACTTTCTTAAAGAAAATACATTAGCCAGAGTGATACAAGGAAAGAAAAGCCTTTTTAAACAGGGTCTATTTAAAATACTTTAGGAACCTTCTTGTATGTGTTGCCCAGGAAATCTATGTAAGTATTTTTTTATTTCTTTGTAGGTACCCCATCCAGTAACTCTATTATTCATTTACCTACGACCCAGCTCTCCAACCAAACCAAGAGTGGCTGTTCGCAAATGTCTCAGTTTGTTTGCTTAACCTATCTCCAGCCCAGTAATTGCTGTCCCCACTTTCAACCCCCTATAAGTGATACCCAATGTGGTAGACAAATTATACTGCTACAACTTCAGAACGATTTTACATAATCACTCTTAGAATTCTATTAGTTTTGGCCTATAATTAAGTTAAAGTGTTAATATTTTCTCATGAGAACCAATACTATAAACTGTATATCCCACCCCAAAATTAATTAGTTTTGGCTAACATGAAACAGCCTAAATTCAATTTCATTCTTAGTTGCCAGTTGTGATTTGTATCAAGTATCAAGATGCATTCAGACATTAATATTTTCGTTGTTTAAAGTTTTTTTGTGAACTCACATAGTATGTGGTAAGTTGTTCCTGTTTTTTTAATTAATTGCAATATTGAGAGGTCCTTTTTTTTCATATATTTTTAGAGTCCACCTGACAAGTTACTTTAATGCTGCTACACATCCCAGACCTTTTTTTACTATCTGATTTCTGCTGAGAGAGCAATACAGCATTTAATTACAGGTGTATCTGTATATTATGTCTTGTAACTTAAGTAATTAAAGTATTTCATTTTATGTACTAATTATAATATAAAAGAATGTTATTCATTATTCTATTCTGTATCATATTTTGGGCAGAAACCAAAAGCTTGTAAGCTTCTACAAGATTATAACTCATATTTATTTCTTTTATTAATTATTGAGACATTTTAAGAGATTATTAACATAATTTATGTTTAAATAATTTTTCTCATATTTTAAGAGCTGTAACCTTTTTAATTATAAGATTATTGATGACAATGTCACATATAAATTGCATATTTTGAGTGTTTAATAAATTCATGTTTGCTTAAATTTGAAAGTTTAACACATTGCCTGCCGTATAGAATTTTGTAATACTTTTCGTTCATGCCATAGTCACGGAGACATCATCACAGTTATATTAAAATTCTCGGTCAAGTAGACCTCGCTGGCGTGCAGAGCAATATTTTTTCTGTGTCACATAGACTGAGATGGCAGGCAACATGTTAAATACACATAATTATTTATTGTGGCATATTATTTTATTTAAATAATAATAATTTAGAGACAATATAAATCTTTTGAAGTATCTTATTGAAAATGTAACATTTTTACAGCTTATGGGCAAATATATCCATTTGTATGATTTGCTTTGATAATTTGTTGATATGTGTTCTGACATATTTTTTTAATGTCTTTGAGGGAAATGTTAATATAATGTTTAGTTTCTTTAATCTTGAGTTCCTTCACGAGTTTCAGGTTAAAACTCATTAGCACACTTTTTTTGCAGTTCTGCAATCTAAGCACTCATTTTGTTTTGCAGTTTAATCTAAGTATCTATCTATCCTTTATCTATTTGTTTTTAATCTGTACTTTTCTATCACCTATATCCTTACCCACCCCTAATGAAGCTCTTGACTTGAGTAAGGTGGTCTTCATTAAGTTTTTTTAAACAATTAGCTTTTTACCATCTTACTTTTGTTAGCTTTTTTGTTACAATATGTATGATTGTCTTCATGAGTAATACATTGATATTTTGGATTAAAATGTTGTGAATAGTTTTAGTACCAAAGATTATTTATTAAAAAATTCTGTAGCAAATATACCTACTACTAGTTTATTAAGGACCCAACAGGTCATTCTTGAAATTGATAATTCAAGATAATTTTCAAAAATGCTGTTAGGTCCTTCAATACCCCATTGTATGGGTTTATTTATTTATTTTTTTAAATTAACAACTCATAGTTTAAAAATCAACAATGCCACTATTGCACTATATGATATTGGTGCTAAATTTCAAACAGATCTAATTAAAGATTATACAAAAGAAATATAGGAGGTAGTTTAATGAAACACATGTTAGTAGTATCTTCCAGGAGTAAAATTCTTAAATAAGGGGCTAAAGCACGCATCTGATTAACACATAAAATTAGTGAAAGAAAGCATTGGAAATAATGGAAAGCTTAAGTTCAGTAGAGAAAAAGTACAAGCTACAGTGTTATCCTTAAGGTAATTACCTCTTAATTGAAGGTGGTAGTCATTTATACATAAAATTTAAATGTAAACAAATGGTACAATGATTTATATAGCCAAATTACACATGAAATTTAAAACAATACAATAAGTTTAAAATAACAATAAAAACAAAATGATTATCATATTATAAGCAATACAGTATTTAACACTATGTTTATAGTAGCTGATTTTCTAATACAATAGAAACGCTTACCCATGAATTCCGAGTTCTGCAATTCTTGTTTAATTTCATTTACTTTAAGGTTTTTTGCGTACTCTCTTAGACCAACATCTACCCTTTCTGCTTGTTTTTTGAATAGGAAAGCATTTTTTAATTGTTCCACACATACTTGGCAAATTAAAGTCGGCAAACCGTCTCCACATATTACCTAACAAGAGAACAAATCACCGAATTTTAATTTGTAAATATTTTCATTGTAGGCGTTTTATCATTTACCTGAACTGAAGCACAGGCCATTAGCATCTCGTCAATACGGGGATTCTGATGAGGATTTTCATAACCTTCGAACAGCGACCGCATCTGTGGACTCACACATTTGCAAGTCCTGCAAATCTGATTAAGATTCACGTTCTCCATTTCTATTAATGTTATCTGTAAAATTGGGATTATCCCATGAAAATCACTTCATTATATTTTCGACGAAACCCAAGCCAACTCAGTCGACAGCACTGGCAAAATTGACATATCCCGTTTCCTTTTTCTTTCTGTGAAATTAACACTAAATGAAGCGCCAAATTCAAATTTACTATTTTTAAATTTGATTTACTAAAATTTTTTATGAAATATTATCTGTTTGATAAAATTCTAACTCAACAATTGTTTGTTCCCTCTAATTATTGCCAAAATGTATAAGTAATGCGGAATAGATATAAAAAATATAAAATCAGTGTCGGCACCTGTAAACGGTGAGTGGGGGTGTTAGGGTCCCTAGATGGAATGTGTGTTTATTCAATATTAAAAGAAATGTAAAACACATTTATGTTTAACAACTTTATACGATTGTTAATGTATTTTGGTATGTAAATTTAATTATATCATAACGAAATTTAATCTCATCTTATAAATCTAAATATGACGAGTCCAGTAAATCAATTTGATGAACGTTAATGCCATCTATTCAAAACAAACAGTGACAGCGTGAAAAACAGAGTCGGCCTAACGTAATTTTAACTCGTTCCCGATGTATAAATCATCTTTTGACTACTATAAAGTATAAATATATTGATAAAGTCATTAAACAAGTAGCATATTTCAAATTTATTTAATATGAGGGGCTCTTTCAAAGGATTACCTACTTGGGTATTAAATATTTTTATTGATAATGTCCTGTTTCTCAAAATGTTAGTTTTGATAAATTAGTGATTACACTATGATTACTAGTCCTGTATACATTTCATTGTTCAAGTCATATGTATGGAGGACAACTTTTTATTTTTTACTAAATTTATAACCCAAACTTTACTTTCCTAAGGTGGATTGTCATCCTCCACAACTTTCCAAATGAGAACGGATTTCAAGTACAACCCTGTTGATTTATGATATCGTATACATTGTTATTTGGGGGCTCTTAGCCCCCAAAAAAAAAATGTTTAATTTTTATAGAAATAAAATTATCAATAATAATAATTAAAAGTTCAAATATAAAATTTATTAAAGTTTAAATATTTATAATACGGATGCTTTTCGGGATTTCTGATTAGCAAAGATGTCTACAATTTTCGAAAAATCGCATGATGCACGTGCTCAATGCACAAAGTAGCTCTGCCAGTTAACTGATCTGCTCTCCACACCCATCACTAATAAGACGAACAGCCGTGTATAGGGTCATATCAATATAGTACATAATAAATTAAATAAACGGGAAATTCAATAAACCTTTTCCAAACTCGTTCACAGTCCATACGTAGGAAGTTATGTTTTTCTTAATAAGTTTGGATTTCGAAGACCCTTTTACAACACAAAAATTATTAAAAGTATAACTGTCGACTACCTATACTAAGTGGATTGATCTGGAAGTTTCGGTAGCGACTGGTATTTTTTTGACAATCAAAGCTCAAAAGCAACAAGCCAACTTTGGCCTCCTTAAGAAAGTCATAAAATACTGTATATTTTAACTCGTGTATTCGTTTAGTTGATATGAGAGGAGTTTTTTGCTGTACATCCTTGCATACTTTTATTTGATCGGTAAGTGACAAGCAAGTTGAACAAACATCCTCCCATGGGTTACCAGATCCTAACATATATTCTAAGCTTAAGAAAACCCGAAGCAACTTCTGGGGCACGGGCTATGGGATTCAATAGAGTAGCAGTATCGATTTTTTTTTAATCTCCTTAATGAAATTCTGGACAAGCACGAATTAGATGCCACTAGAATTTTCAACTGTGATGAAACGGGTATTAGCGTGGTTCCCAAGCAGTTTTCGAAAATAATAGCTGTTGGAGGACAACGTCAAGTAGGTGTCTTAAGTTCTGCTGAAACTGTCACAGCCGAAATATGTTGCTCAGCTGCCGGATGTTACATGCCCCCAACTTTAATATTTTCGCGAAAAAAGAAAGTGAATTTGAAACAGGTCTCCCACCATGAGGCTGGGCTGAAGTTAGCGACTCTGGTTGGATAACTGCAGAGATTTTCGTAAAATGGCTACAACAGTTCATTCTGTTTTCTAAAGCGACGAAAGAACATCCAGTTCTGTTACTTCTTGATGGGCATAGGTCATACACAAAGAACTTGGCCGCAATAGATCTAGCACGTGACAATGATGTGTTAATATTGTGCTTCCCTCCTCATTGCTCTCACAAAATTTAACCATTGGACGGTGCATTTATGAAGCCCTTGAGCTTGTATTAAAACAATGAAATAAGGAAGTGGTCCAGGTCGTATCCAGGGAGGGTGGTTCAGCTTTTCGACATATCAAGACTTTTTGGCTAGGCTTTCTTAAGTGTAGCAAATATGAGAACTACCATTAATGGCTTTGAAAAATCGGGTATCCTGTCATCCAATATTAATAAATTCACCGATGATGACTTTCTACCATCAGCAACAACAAATATTCCCTTGGAAAATCTTGTTGGCAGTACAATCCAGGAAATATCGTCGGCTATGCCAGAGACAACTGACTGAGGATATTCTTGGATGCCCGATTCCCCTGTTCGTACTGATGACGACACACATTTTTCAGTCACGTCGTCAAGAGACCTAATCCCGTTGCCAAAAGTTAAAGCCGGAACAAAAAGAGCTGTAAAAAAGCTTGGAAAGACTGCCGTCATTACCGCCTCACCTTATAAGGTTGATCTGGAAGAATCTTTAAAAAAAGATGCAAGCTATAAAGGAAGCTAAAGAGTTAAAAATTAAACAGAGATTAATGTTTAAAAATTATGAAAACAAACCCAGAGAAATTGAAACTCAACGAAAAAGTAAAAAAAAAATAAGAACAAACAGGTTAAAACTAAGGCAAAGAAACAAAAAATATCTGAACCTGAATCCGAAGATAGCGCAGAAGAAGAAGATACGGCCTGTTTGTATTGCCATGATTACTAATCTAAGTCCGGTGAAGGCTGGTGTTCTTGTAGCATTTGTAAGAAATGGGCGCATCTAGCATGTACTGGTTTAGATAGTGACGATGATGAAAGCGTTCTCGTCTGTGAACTTTGCCAATGATATTAGCTATAGTATGGGGCACCCCATTGTGCCCTGGGGGGTGGGGCAGAATGGGAAATTTCCCTTTATTTTTGTAATGCACATTTTTCTCAGAAACGTTTTTTTTATGACTTCAGCTATATTTCCCTTGTAAAGAAATAAATAAATAAACATAAGATTTGTCAAATGATTGTGCAGTTTCATTAAATATCGCACAAATTACTATCAAACTTAGGTAACCCATTCCGCCCCGGGTTCCCCTATACCTCCACGTCCTGCTATAGTTTCGTTCCATAAAAAACAAATCCCTTCATTACCAATATGATCTGTTTTATATTGTAGACCCACAGTTGTTTTTTGACACACCATTTCTCAAGAAGAGAGTCGGCAAATATTTTTCCAAATCAAATGAAACAGTCACATAACTTGGATCTAAGTTACTTCTTTCTTTATCTTTCTTCTTATTTTCATAGCAGCTTTGAGCCATTTCCAAATGTTTAAATCTTGTTCTATTGTAACCTTTATTTCGTTTACCTCATTTTCTTTAAAGTTTGTTTTATTATAATATGACTTAAGGCGAAGATTTAAGCGATCACACTTTGCACATGTATCATTTACAGGATGATGAAAAGCAAGATTAAATTCTTCATTAAATATTTTTCTGTACTTAAATTCTTTGAGCGGAGCAACTTTCATTTCTTTGCAGTTTTCAGTAGAGTCTATAAATACTTGAAATATTCAAATCGGGGCTAAGATAATGCCTAGAAGATTTTTCACGGGAATAGTGGGTGTTATATACTGGAAAACTTCTTATGTGATCGCGAATATCTTTCAACAGTTCAGCAATTTTGGGTAGATTTTTATGCACTCCTCTTATATCTGATGGACATGTGTATGCAATGGACCCTTTTTTCTCTACAATCACTCTTCTCTTTTTAATAGAAATGTCACAGGTACTTAAATATACAGCCTTTGACAAACTTCTGTTCGATTTCCGGTAGAAATTTTTAAAAACTGTTTCCTAGAAAAACATCTTCTGCTTTTCAGTTTCTCTGGTGCCAGCCTTTGTCTATCTTTGAGTTTTTCTTCCACACTTTTCGCTAACACTTGATGTTAAGCGTGTCTACTTAATTGGTAAAATCGCGAAAATTTATTCTACCTTTGAGCATTATCAATGATATCATAACATTTTCGCCTACAATGGCATGCTGACTGTAATACTTTAGCTTTTTTTACCTGATTTTCAAAAACGACATCAGTATCTAGGCTACCTATTGCACCTTGTATAGAGTGTCGTGATTAATCCATCGCAATATTGTCATATGCCTAAAATTACATGTCTGCATTTTGTGGGATCATTTCCACAAAAACAGCAGAATTACTTCGACCTGCCTGGGTAAAAAAAGTTGATATGGATTCATCAGTAAAATGACCTAAACCCATTTTTTATATTAATAAAATAGCGCAATTTGCATACCTATTTTATTTTAGTAATTGCCATTTTTGTTTCTATTTCTATTACCAACTTGTCCGGAGTCTTTAATTAAAGACAAGAGCCTTTACTTGCAGTAAACTCACTTAAGATAAAACACAAAAGGGCTTCACCGGTCATTAAAACAACAATTGTTTTAAGGTTATGTTTTGATAAAGGCCAATCTTCAATGACTTTCGGAAGGATAAAAAACCAAAGTCCAATGCTCTCTGGATATTGGCCCTTTAGTTAAGTAGAGTGAGCATTTCTGTATACACTTTGCCCGTTTTAATTTAAACTGATTTGGAGATAATCCCGAAATTAAAATTAAGAAATCGGCAACCATTCATACAAGAAGATTGGCCTTTTTTTGTATTGAATAAAAGTTTTGAATATTATAGTTTTTGTGGTGATACTAAATCAATAAAGGCAAAAATGGAGTTTGGCCCTTTTAATACTCAGGTCCAGATATAATATATATGGAAATTATATATGAGTATTAGCTACGGTGTTTTCTTCGGGAACAAAAAAGATTGCTACTAAAAATAG